CGTCACCAATCTGTTATTTGTCATCAGAGTCTCTAGTTCATATTCAAGCAAATGCATAAATACTAAACAACGTGACCTTAAAAAAAAACAAACTAAAAACCACCGACATCCATCAAACCCCAGAAAAGGTTGGTTATTTTTTTACACCTCATGGATACTTTTATGTCCCAATTTTCTATTCATGATTGAAGAATTCCTTATTTTCATTAGGCATGGATTCAATTTAGGCAGAAACCATGATCTTCATTAGTGTCATGTCACCACTATTTTCTCTTTATTTCAAAATAGACGGATAAATAATAACAACATATTTACCTGCTCAAAGTGATTAACCGTTACATGGGATCCAGTGGGTTGAAAACTAAGTATTTGGATAAGAGGGAAGCCACAAGTGAAAATACTTCTATTTATTACCCATTGGCTAATATATATATATATATATATATATATATATATATATATATATATATATATATATATATATATATATATATATATATATATATATATATATATATATATATATTCACTCAGAAAAAACATGTTTTAATTTTATGATGAAACAAGATGGCTAGCAAATCGTATAACAGACTAAAGAAGCATATTTCTAACTATGTCCTGCGCGATGCTAGTTGTATACCGTTTTTTTTCGCACACAGTTTACCTTACCTTCTCATTTCAAGGTAAAATAACACTTAAATGGTTAAAAATAAAACTCCAAAGTATTTGCAAATCGTCGGGTTCGAACATTGGTCATGTATAAGCGACAAACGTGTCTTTTGAGCATTTCTTAATTTCTTTCTCATAATTTTATTACTGTCCATTGACGGGCACTGAACCGTTTTCAAAATTATTTTTCTCAAAAATCATCTAATCCATGGCCTAGCACATAATAAAACCCGTTGTTCGTGGTGGATAGCTGTCAGACACGTGCGATTATGGTAGAGATGGAGTACATAGTGGGGGTAATTACCAGATGGTTATGACATGGAAGACATGGTCTTTAATAATTGGCTAAAAACTTAGCACACAAAGTATTCGAGACAAAAGAACATTATGAGTATTTGATATATAACATCAAACAAACAACGCCAAGCAAAATCCTTATATCGCCTGAGGCATACTTGCAAGAAATATTGTACATATTTATGATGGGCAGATGCGCCGAGAAACGAATTCTTTGATGTTAAAGACATAACCGATGTAGCTTCTTATCTGGCTTAAGCAGTTTTAAATTTTTTTCATCAAAGTACCTTGATGTTTCTATTTTCGATCTGAATTAAAATTCATGGCGTCATTAGGCGTTGGCGTTGCTTACGATGCATCATTCGTTTATGAAAAATAGTATATGTTTAAGAGCATAACTATTCGCATGTGTCGCTGTTAGAAAATGTAATTGAATACTTGAAAAGAACCAATTTTAGCATTTTATGAGGTATAAAACGCATACTTTTTCCTCCATAGACTAGATGCACCAATGACAATAAATTTATTCAGTGAAAATGAAAATAATGTTGTTCATATATGACATAAAATATATGCATGTGATAAATAATATATATGTATGTGATATGAATAAAATATATGTATTATATCGTATGTCAAATGGATATTTGCATATATATATATATATATATATATATATATATATATATATATATATATATATATATATATATATATATATATATATATATATATATATATATATAGTTCTGAAAAAGACAAATTTTCCTTATGGAAAATCCAATAATCCTTACGTGGTCAGTTTCCAGTAAACATCTTGATTACAATTTACAACAGACTAAATAATGGTAGGCAAACCTTCTATTTACTACACTCAGTCACACGCATGACAAAAGTCATGTTTTCAAAACTTATATTTACTACCCTCAGTCACACCTATGACAAAAGTCATTTTTTCAAAACTTCTATTTACTGCCCTCAGTCACACCCATGATAAAAGTCATGTTTCCAAAACTTCAACTACAATCACATCGAGACAAAATAAATAAATAAATAAATAAATAAATAAATAAATAAATAAATAAATCTTTAATTTCCTCGACAAGGAGTGTTCTTTTACAAAATACAAAACAGGACAGAAAAAAAAGAAACTGAACAATTTGCATTGACGATTTCGTGTGAGTGTGATTTGGATTTTTGACGTAGCTTTAGCACTTTGAGCCATATCACTACGATGTCTGCCGTATGGCAATTTATAATGATGACCAGCATTATGCCGCTCACATGTAGCATAAGTCCCACTTATATTTCATCATGTCCCACTTATATTTCATCATGTCCCACTTATATTTCATGTCCCACTTAAATTTCATCATGTCCCACTTATATTTCATGTCCCACTTATATTTCACCATGCCCCACTTATATTTCACCATGTCCCGCTTATATTTCATCATGTCCCACTTATATTTCATCATGTCCCACTTATATTTCATCATGTCTCACTTATATTTAATCATGTCCCACTTATATTTCATCATGTCCGACTTATATTTCATGTCCCACTTATATTTAATCATGTCTCATTTATATTTTATCATGTCCCTCTTATATTTTATCATGTCCAACTTATATAAATCATTTCAAAAACACAATGATACATACACGATTAATATAGATAAGAAACAAACAAACGGAATATCAAAAATCAGAAAATACACGCGAGCTTGCAAAATGACATAAATTTTGAATACTGTACAAGTTTTTTTTTTTTTAAAAAAGAAAGAGAAACGAATAAAGATATTGTTACAGTACGGGTCGATTAATGATAATGACTTTACCTTTAAGCTCTGGGTTCTATAAATGTGTAGTCGTCATTACAAAGAAGTACATTCGTGATTCAAGGACGCCTAACTGAAATGAACAGATCTGAAAATGATGAAGTTGTGTTTCAACTTTAGGTGTCAGTACTGTGCGTTTTTAGTAACTGTTACTGGTTGTTACTTTGATAAGTGTTTGTGTATTTCCATTCCATACATGTGGAAGGCAATTTGTCGTCGTTACTTTGATAAGTCTTTGTGTATTTCCATTCCATACATGTGAAAGTCGTTGGCAATTTGTTTTATTAACATACATTATGTGACCATATGCTGACGGAAGTTGGTATACCGCTGACCAAATTTTTTACTGTGAGCAACTTCGTAATCTGGCTTTAATATCCATACTATAAATCTAGATATTTGGCTTTGATATCCAAAGGGATAGTATAAACCTGGATATTTGGCGCAATGCGTTACAGAGAAGGGCGAATATGGTCCTGGAAGTGTCAGACCTAACGAAGTAATTATATTTCTTGATTCTATTACACCAAGAAGTCTCTACCATTTTTAAGTATAGTCATTGTGATCATTTATTTCCACTGAGGTTAGTTACTCAAAATTGACTGATTAGTAAAGTTCTAGTGGACATATGACAGCTAGAACTTGTGAAGTCAGTTTCTGATATCTATAATAAAACCAGATGGTACAGATCGGGTGCTACCAAATTGAGGGCGTAGGAGGAATAGACTGTTATTTGCCAGTGTGCAGAGTTCACGTGGGTAGAAGTTTACCACGATCAAAATCAGTAGTTACTGCGCCCCAGCATTCACTCAAAAATGTCCGAGCATGTGTGTTCAGGGAATCTCTTAATTCGTTTAACATTGATTAGACAAAGCTGTTATACTAATACAATTATCCGATGCATCGTGACTCTTTCATCTCACAATGAAAAATGTTTCTAAACAGAATAATATGCAGATAAGCTGAGAGTCTTAAGCAATTAGCAAAACCAAACACCAGCTGAACCTTTACAATTTAACGCAAAGATCGGATGAATTCAAGGCATTCAGCTTCTGTTCGTTTTTAAATAATGTGACCTCATTATCAAGTTTGCATTAGACAGAGATTAATACTGATATTTATGTTCATCTTGCATTTGCTGCATCATATTAAAGATTGTCAGCGATGAGAAAAACATGATAACGAAATCAATGTTTTAATTAGTGTCTTGATAGGACACAATTTAATGCGCACTGCTGGAATGGGAAACTAAGCTTCGCGTAATTATCACTAACAACTATATTTTAACGTTAACAAGAGAGATTAATCAAGATAAGGTGTCTTTGACGTTTCCTTGCATTCGGCAGGTTGTTAAACTTAAATACACTTTATCAAAGAAAGAAATTAGGAATGCCTAAAATAAATTCATTGATTCGTTTTTACAGAATTTCTAAAGTGAAAAAAATAGCAACAACAAACTAATGCCGGTGAAAATGCTGAAACAGTCTGTCCTTATGGTGCTCATGGAGTGTGTGTGTGTATGTGTGTGTGTGTGTGTGTGTGTGTATCTGTGTGATTAAGATATTTTAACCTAGCTTTAACAAGTTTACAGTGATATCGCTAAGATGTCTGCAGTGATGATGTCTAGCAATGGGCATCATCCGGTAGTATGTAACATGTCCCATGTAACCACATTATCATGACACCATGTCGACCAGTCATATCCCATGTAGCCACATTATCTTGACACCATGTCGACCAGTCATATCCCATGTAGCCACATTATCTTGACACCATGTCGACCAGTCATATCCCATGTAGCCACATTATCATGACACCATGTCGACCAGTCATATCCCATGTAGCCACATTATCATGACACCATGTCGACCAGTCATGTCCCATGTAGCCACATTATCATGACACCATGTCGACCAGTCATGTCCCATGTAGCCACATTATCATGATACCATGTCGACCAGTCATGTCCCATGTAGCCACATTATCATGACACCATGTCGACCAGTCATATCCCATGTAGCCACATTATCTTGACACCATGTCGACCAGTCATATCCCATGTAGCCACATTATCTTGACACCATGTCGACCAGTTATATCCCATGTAGCCACATTATCTTGAATGTCGACTAGTCCTAATAATAACCTTTTGATGATGAGTTCCTAGTGAGGTAGCTTTTGGGACTTTTGGTATGACTCGGCCGGGGTTTAAACCCGCGATCTTCCGCTTCAAAGACGGACGCTATTACCACGAAGCGGTCTTGCAAAATATCTAGTAAAATTTGTATTAGAATGCTTTGCTTGCCTATCGTCAGGGAAGACATTTTTTTAAATATAATAAAACATTATTAACATATAATATTTCTTCAGCCGATGTTTCTATACTATTATCACGTTTTAGTTTCACTTTTCTAATGACAAACTAGAGGTAGACTTGTATAGCTTAGAAATGGGATTTTGAAACCTTATTTCTTATACGTGTTAAATTAAATTTTGATGACCCAGTTTATGATCCCATTTTAATACACCAAGTCGGCGTATGTATAAGAAAAACAAGAAACAATAAAAGGAATTTTTACTTTGTTGTTAATATGTGATAAACTTAAAGGTTAAATAATTTTTAATAAATAGCTTCCTTAATTAATCTCTGCCGGAAAAAAAAGAATTTTCCAAAAGCTGAGTCCTGAGCACAGACTGGTTTATTTTCTTTTTTTGAGGAGATAGAAGAAACATTTAAAGGTAATTGTCCTCTAACATACACTTCATAGGTTTTTTTTAAAATTACTTTATACTTTACACTCCAATTGTGGCATTAAAACGTTTCCATTTTTATATGTTGACATAGTAATACAGGCAACATAGTAGAGTACATTACACATGTGAAATAAATAAATAAATTCCTTGGAAGTGAAATATAAAATCAATTGCAACAATGAGAACTTGATATACCTTGTCAAATAAATGTTTCTTTTTCTTATAATTACTTTCAAGGAAGTGTGTCAAGAGCGCTCACCGTTACGGATCACTGCCATCTCACCTCTTTCTGCGTTAGTTGGAGTCTCTTATTCGGTCATTGTGGGTATTTGAGAGAGCTTGCCAGTAGCTTTTCTTGGGTCATTGGTTCTTTCCAGGGTTTTCTCGGGTAGTTCCTTCACCATTTATACTGGCCTCAATGTATAGCATATCTTGTGCTTAAAATGGCGTTGACCCTACAACAACAACAATAACAACAACAGCTTTAAATTTAAAATGCAGAATCAATGTACACCAATTAAACTCCATTGACGTAGTATTACAGAGAACCTCTCAATCGAAGTATTGGCTACGCAATGTACGTCACAGTGAGTGTTATCATTGGTGTAGCGTTACAAAAAAAACTCTCAATCGAAGTATTACTTCGCAATGTACGTCACAGTGAGTGTTACCATTGGCGATACTCTCCTCTGATGAGTCTTGTATTTTTCAAGATAAATACTTCCTTAATTCTCATAGGTTCAAAGATGTACGAAACAGGTCGATAACAATATTTTGAAAACTTATTTTCTTCATATATATTTAAAACATTTTCGGAAGGATAGATAATCTCTATACTTTTTGCCAAATGTAATTGATGGCAATAACTTCAGATGTGATTGTGATTCATAGCTAATCTTATCTCCTGAGAATAGGCCATATGTATGTCTGTCTGTCTGTCTGTCTGTCTGTCTGTATGTATGTATGTATGTATGTATGTATGTATGTATGTATGTATGTATGTATGTATGTATGTATGTATGTATGTATGTATGTATGTATGTATGTATGTATGTATGTATGTATGTATGTATGTATGTATGTATGTATGTATGTATGAATATATGTATGTATGTAGTACGTACTTACGTACGTACGTACGTACGTACGTATGTATGTATGTATGTACGTACGTACATATGTATGTATGTATGTATGTATGTATGTATGTATGTATGTATGTATGTATGTATGTATGTATGTATGTATGTATGTATGTATGTATGTATGCATGCATGCATGCATGCATGCATGCATGCATGCATGCATGTATGTATGTATGTATGTATGTATGTATGTATGTATGTATGTATGTATGTATGTATGTATGTATGTATGTATGTATGTATGTATGTATGTATGTATGTATGTATATATGTATGTATGTATGTACGTACGTACGTTTGTATGTATGTATGTATGTATGTATGTATGTATGTATGTATGTATGTATGTATGTATGTATGTATGTATGTATGTATGTATGTATGTATGTATGTATGTATCTATGTATGTATGTATGAATATATGTATGTATGTACGTACGTACGTAAGTACGTACGTACGTATGTATGTTTGTATGTATGTATGTATGTATGTATGTATGTATGTATGTATGTATGTATGTATGTATGTATGTATGTATGTATGTATGTACGTACGTACGTACGTACATATGTATGTATGTATGTATGTATGTATGTATGTATGTATGTATGTATGTATGTATGTATGTATGTATGTATGTATGTATGTATGTATGTATGTATGTATGCATGAATGTATGCATGTATGTATGTATGTATGTATGTATGTATGTATGTATGTATGTATGTATGTATGTATGTATGTATGTATGTATGTATGTATGTATGTATGTATGTATGTATGTATGTATGTATGTATGTATGTATGTATGCATGCATGCATGCATGCATGCATGAATGAATGTATGTATGTATGTATGTATGCATGCATGCTTGCATGCATGCATGCATGCATGCATGCATGCATGCATGCATGCATGCATGCATGCATGCATGCATGCATGCATGTATGTATGTATGTATGTATGTATGTATGTATGTATGTATGTATGTATGTATGTATGTATTTATGTATGTATTTATGTTTGTATGTATGTATGTATGTATGTATGTATGTATGTATGTATGTATGTATGTATGTATGTATGTATGTATGTATGTATGTATGTATGTATGTATGTATGTATGTATGTATGTATGTATGTATGTATGTATGTATGTGTGTGTGTATGTGTGTGTATGTATGTATGTATGTATGTATGTATGTATGTATGTATGTATGTATGTATGTATGTATGTATGTATGTATGGGTGGGCGTGCGTGCGTGCGTGTATGTGTGCGTGTGTGATTAAAAGCCACATCTCCAGAAGCTATATATAAATTGTGCTTGGTAGCAATAGATCCAAACTCCCTCCATTTAAATTTCGTGAAGATATTAAAACGAAATTAGAATCTAAAGAAACTCACAAGGACAAAAGCTGAAGCCATGGTGTCTTTTGACACAGAATGCATACATAAATAGTGCTTATATTGTACAAATAAGAAAATATGTCAGTCAAGTAAAGACCCTATCCGATTTCGTCTTATGACTTTTTGCGTGCCATGATGGCAGATGCATTTGAATGTTATTCATAATCACTGTTCTTTGGAGGGCTTGGCTGGCTGAGGTTGTCCTTTGTGCTAGCAAACAAACGGAAATTTAGATTTTGATAATCAACAATTAGCGTAAAATAATGCAGGATACATTGTGCATATATTGTGTAAGGTATCTGTATCAGAAAAATTTGAATTATATGCTAGTTTAATGGCTAATCACTGGTAGATTTTCAACAGAATCAGGATTACAACCGTCTTTGTAGGAAGTACGTTGTCATAAGGGCAATCATAGTAATTACCCATCCACCTTTCACTTTCCTCAACTTCTTTGATGATCACCATTTGTATACTGTGCCAACAAAATACGCTGTAAACCTTCCCCAAAAGGTTATAATGTTTGCACACATATGTGCAGTTTTTTAAGGTTTCTCTTCTTATATTTCTTCTTTCAAGTAATCGGGAAAAGAAACTTTTCATATCGCTTTTGTATTAGTCTTCACATGCTATCCTCAAAACCCAACACGACTACTGGAAAAGGGTGTTCTTTAAGGTCATATATTATCATTGAAGATATTATTTGTCTGTGCATACAAGACCGTACTTGGTTTACTTTCGGGGGTGCCTTGTCAGTCAACTGCTTAGTAAGTCTAGAGGAGGACTTCAACAAATTTATTGCCATAAAGTACATACGTAATTGCCTGTTTTCTTGTGTCGGAAATGTTTGTTTCAGTTAGACACTTGATTTTTTTTAACTGAACTTTCAATCGTAATATAGGATCTTAAACCACTATGATTTTGTTGCATTTATTGTTCAAGTAAGGCATTATGTGTAGCATCTTGCCATTTTCATTACACAATCCATTGTGACAATACACTGACCTAACAATTACGAAACATTAAACTGATGGTAGCTGTGTTGATGAGCAACAAGACAAATATGGAATTATCTAAGTATATTTTGAAGTGTCAAGAAAAGCATAATTGTGTCGTGTGAAGTTCGGTGGTTCGTGGGTTGAACGTCATTTTTCAGCACATGATAGGGAAGAACCACTGATTTATGGGAAGCAAAGGGCAAGCTTTCTAGCATACTAACATGCCCAGCCCAAGACTCGAACGCACGTGGACAAAGGTGGCACTGGTCGTGACAGGCGATTTCCTGAGACCACCCCGCCATCCTGTGACATCTATAGTGAATTCGTCAGAGTTAATAATCTCTCTCTCTCTCTCTCTCTCTCTCTCTCTCTCTCTCTCTCTCTCTCTCTCTCTCTCTCTCTCTCTCTCTCTCTCTCTCTCTCTCTCTCTCATATGTCGAAATGTTATATATATATATATATATATATATATATATATATATATATATATATATATATAAAATGACAATTCAACTAGGCTTAAACATTGGAAAAAATATAATTTCATTTTGTGAGCTGATGTATAATGTGTGGTATGAAGAAGGAAAAAAAATACAAGCTTCTGTTCCTCTTTCCCCGTATTTTACCGGGCTGAAGGGTGGGGGGCTTTTATGTAAAATCTGATTGCTCATCAACCTGACTAAAATAAATATTTACAAAAAAATACACATGTCAGGAAAAAAAGGGTCTCTATATTTAAATTGCTCCGATAAATAAAAACTCAGAATTTAATTCATACCGCTCTGAATATTTATTGGAAGCTCATGGCAAATACAATTATGTTCCCCCAGATCAAATTTGAACATGCTTTTTTAACGTAAAAGTCATTTTGACACAAAGTGATCCTCATATTCGAGATGCAAGCCCTTTCCCCACTGTACGTACTAAGCAGTTTGATGCAATTCAAAATAATC